AAAACACTGAACTTTGAAATACAGAGGCAAATACGCACATCGCTGAGCAAAGTCGCAAAATCGTTTTCAGTGTGACGAGGTTCCCCACGAATCATTATCACTCAATTCTGAAAGTGGTTCCAATTTACTATCGCTGGTCTAAAACCGCTTTTGACGTAAAGGGACGCTTTTTGGACGCCATGGACTTTTCTAAGTTTCCGGGCAGAAAGAACATTCAAAATGCAGGCAGGGCACAGGACAAAGCAGTAGGGACAAAACATATATGAAATGCATTGAAATAGCAATGACAGCAAAAATGAAATTTTTTAAAAATTCAAATTTCCCGCCGATTCCGGAGCCCGTACGTCCCAGGGATCGGAACACAGAAGCCGGATGCCGGCATCGGCCAGAGGAGATGGCCGGGGACGCTGCAGGGGACACATCGCGGGAGCGAAGGACAAGGTAAGTGCTGCAGGGACCCCCAGAGCAGCACCGCATGGTAAGCCCGAGTGTAGCTCGGGGTTACCGCTTTTGGTATAGAAATTTTACCCCGAGCTACACTCGGGATTATCGCTAAGGAGGTTAAGGAGAAGCTGAAGAGAGTGGGAGGTGGAAACCCGTCTTGGATAGGTCGCATAAACTTGATAAAAATGGTAATTGTGCCCAAAGTACAGGGTGCAGCAACATAACTTCCTTTTTTGAAATGCGTGCCATTCAGGCTGTAGCGGCCATAGCGGGGCGGGAGTGGTCTCAGGCGACAGGCGTAGTTCTAAAGTTTTTGTTCTCTTCCAGGTCAGTCATCATCATGCGTTGGAACAGAGAGCAGTGTGCGTTTGCCATAGAGGCCTACTTTTGGAACGGATTTTCTGTGATCGCAACCCAACGCGCTTTCCGACATCGCTTGCGTTCTGCACGCAAACATGCGTCTGCCCTTGGACTTTCGGATCGTTCAGTGAGGCGAATTCTTCACGATGACCTTCATTACCATCCGTACAAGTTGGCGATTGTGCATGAACTCTCCGAACGCGACTTCAATTCTCGGAGGAACGCATGTGAGGCAGTACTCGAAAACGTCCCTGAGGACGCAATTGTTTTTTTACAGTGATGAAGCCCATTTTCACTTGACTGGATGCGTCAACAATAGAACATGCGCTACTGGGCTGACACCAATCCTCGAGAATTGCATCAAAGGCCTTTGCATTCATCTAAAGTCACAGTGTGGTGTGCAATTGCCTCAGCTGGGATTATTGGTCCCTGGTTCTTTGAAGAAAATTAGGTCACAGTGACAGTGAATTCAGACCGGTATGTGAACATGTTGGAGGAATTTGGACTTAGGGGACTTTTGGTTCCAACAGGACGGAGCAACGGCTCACACTTCAAGAGCATCAATGGCTGTTTTAAGGGAACACTTCCCGGAGCGCCTCATCTTAATAAGGAGTGATTTGGAGTGGCCAGCCCGCTCCCCCGATTTGGCCCCTTGCAACTTTTTTTTGTGGGGTTTTTTGAAATCCCGCGTTTATGTAAACCGTCCAAGGACCCTACAAGACCTGAAGGCCAACATCCGTGCAGAAATTGCCAACATACCCGCTGCTATGCTGGTAAGGGTCATGAAAACCGCCAGAAATCGGCTTATTCAGTGTATGGACGATGAGGGGCGTCACCTACCTGATATGATTTTCAAAACTGTGTAAAACAGAACTTTAGATATGTACCTACATTATTAAAGACAATAAAAAAATTCTGATTCATAAAATGGGTTTTATTGCGTTTTGAAAAAAGGAAGTTATGTTGCTGCACCTGTATTATATAAATTTCAAATGATTCCAATCAAACTTCCAGAGGCATATTTTAAAGAACTTAAAAAAAATGATAATAAGATATATATGGAGGAATAAAAAGCCTAGAATACGTTATGAAATGTTGACTAGAAGTAAATAAAGAGGTGGATTGGGTGTACCAGACTTTAAGAGATATTATAAAGCGGTGATAATTGCGAGAATTTTTGATTGGACTCATAATCCAGAGAAAAGTTGGGTCAAAATCAAAAATACACTGAGTGGAACAAATTTAGGTAAGATTATATGGGTGCCTGCACAATACAGGGGATTAGGATAGCACAAGTACATATACTTTTAACGTTTTAAGAGTGTGGGAAATGTTACACAGACAAAAGGGATGGGTTTTTAATTCACAGTTAATGCCACTAAGGAACACAGAATATTTTACCCCTGGGCAGGAAAACATCGCAGGGAAATGGATTATAAAACAAGAGGCGCAATTAAGAGATATAATGGTGGGGGAGGAATTAAGATCATATGGAGAGTTGGAGAAAAAAAAGGAAGAAGTTTTCAATAAGATGGATAGATTACGATATTACCAACTGAAACATTTCTTTGAGAGTCTCCCAAAGCCTATGAGAACTAGAAAAGAGTGGAATCCATTGGAGAGATTGTTGGAAGCATGGGGAGATGGAAGACACGGAATTGCAAAAATATATAAGATATAAACAGAATTAGACACGGACACAAAAATTAATATACATAGAGAAATGGGAAAGAGACATGGGAAGGGAAATAGATGAGGAGGAGCAAAGGAAAATGTTTAGATTAATTCACGAAAACATTAGTATGCGGGAGGTGGAAATAAATTACAAGTGTTTGGTGAGATGGCACATTACACCTAATGTAGAGCATAAACTGAATGGGGAGATTTCCCAGATATGTTGGAGAGGTTGTGGAGAGGTGGGCACGTGGTATCATATATGGTGGGAGTGTTCAAGAATACAGGTGTTTTGGCGGAAAATAGTTTATTTAGTAAGGAAAATCACTAAAATTAATATTGGATTAGACCCAGAGTTATGTCTTCTCCATAACACAGAGCTTCCAGTGAAATTATATAAGGTCTTGGGGATATGGCATTATTTGAGTACAGCGAAGAGCTTGATACCTAGGTTTTGGGAGGAAAAAAAAAAAAAAGGAGGTGCCAACAGAGGAAGATTGGATGGGCAGAATGAATCAAATCTGCGGGACAGAAAGACTGTATTACATGCATATAGATAAGATGGAGATGTATAATACAAAGTGGAAAAAATAGGAAGAGTATAGAGAAAAAGTGAAATATATGAGGATATAATACCCCTTGAAATGGATTTAGAAATAATAGAAATGTATGGTGTAAAAGAGGAGAGAGAAAACGCAGAGTGGGAGAGGGAGGTGGGGTGGAAAGGGGGTGGGAGGCTGAGGAGGGGGGAGGGGGAAGAGGGAGGGTTGAGGTGAGGGCTTTAAATAATTTATAATAGAAATGTGAATGTGATTTGTATTTGGATTGATAAATTAATAAACATTTAAAAAAAAAAAAAAAAAGACCTTACAAACCCAGGAATTTTGTGCTGATTAGGGCCCTTGACAGCCAGAGGGGATCAGGTCAAAGAAGAAAGGCAGCAGAGACAGACAGGAAACGTAAGATCCACACAGTGCTTCATGAGCAGGAGCAGAAGCAGGGTGGAACTTCCTCCAGGGTGAATGCTAGGAAAGGGCACAGACTGCATGTTTTCATTGCTTTACTCAGAAAAGCACTTGGTCCCTCAGCCTCAAAGCAAATTTTAATTAAATGAACCCCCAGGAGCTTTATACCATAGCGTGCACTGTACACATTATGCAATACATTATGGCAGACTTAACGGCTAGTCAGTGCCTTCTAGAGCTGCACTGCCAGCACTCCAGCTGGCTACAGGTGTTTCCATCTTCTTCTGGTCTTCCTTTCAGGTTTGGTCTGTATGGCCATTTGAATGGACAAGTCAGGATATGTCATTCCCGCACATGGGAGTCCCATCATCACAGCATAGAGGGGTGCTGTATGCTCCAGTGTACAATACTACTGACATGCAGGGAGAAGCATTTATAACAGATAAGACCAATAGTCAGTGGTTTTTTTTTTTTTTTTTTTTTTTTTTTTTTTTTTTTTTTTTTTTTAAGTGTTACTAAACCCACAACAGTAAAATAGTCTTTATATGCAGTAAAGCATACTCACTGTGAAACCTAAGGGGTGTTAAAATCTGCATTGTGTAAAAAAGGCTGTTTGATCATGACTTCTCTGATCCTCCTTTTCTTCCAGTGTCCCCCTCCTATCTCCTGATAAGACATATGGTGTGGAGACACTATGCACAAGCTCAGTTTGGTGTGTATTGCTAGAGGATTTTTTTTTTTATTGGGGAGAGTGCATGTGATCAGCACAGGGCCAATCAGCACTGTCCAGACAGAGGTCAGGGGGGTTCTGCATCCTCCTAGAATAGAACGAGAACTCCTACAAGCTGTAACCAGTACTCTGCTGAACACTGATAGAAGTCACAAGACTGCTCTAACTGCTGATGAGAAAAGGTATTTAGCAGTTTATGTTTACCAAAATAATTGCATGTTTATGTAGTATGTACTGTGGGAGACCAGATATAGTGAAGGCAGGGTCCTGGGTTTAGTAACATTAAGTTTATAGTAAAACCGGCAGAGCTATGAAACTGACATGGGTGGAGCTCCGGCCGCACAACTGTGTCATTCATTCACAGAGCTCTGTGAATGAATAAACTACAAGTCCTGTCCACCACCTTAGTAGAAGGATTTATAGTTCTTAATGGACTATGAACGCGCTGAGCAGCACACTTGTAGTTCATTGACACTTTGTGCAGCTCAATAACTGAAAGCCAGTACAGAGGTACAGGCAGAAAGCTGTAAGTGTCTGCAGGAGCCTGACATTGTAGTCACGTTCCACTGATCGTGGGTGCCATACTTTGCAGGCACCTGTGTGCATTTATATTTACATTTTTTTAATTGCAAAAACATGTGCACTCATGATTTTTTTCTTAAAGGTAAACTTAGTATTTAACTAAATCATATCAAAGAAATGCAGAAAAGGGTGTTAAACCTAAGTGATGGTCAAAACACTTGAAAAAACACTCATCATTGCAAGAGCATAGATGTGATCTGGAAACTACACATCAGGCCCAGTATGTCGAACAGTGGTTCACTTACATTTTGTAACAGCTCCTCCACAGCATGTGTGAACCTGTCTGCCAGCTCATCAATCAGCTGACTGTGTGCTACGTCCACTCGGTTCTGAATTGTGTACTCTTCACTGCATAGTATGCTGTAGGTTTTACTACATGCTTCTAATACATCGGCCTCTGTGTGTTTCTCCACAACAAACCTAATCTGCTTTAGTAAACTGTCCAGGTGCTGTATAAAAGAAAAATACATTAAAAAGACAAATATTAACAAGTGTTTATTTCCAAAGTTTAGGGTCTCATTTACATGGGTACTGAGAACAATATACCATGAAATGGCCATTTGTCTATGTGGCTGGAGCCACCTAATGCTGTGTACAGGCAGCCTGTGTACGTCTATGGGGACACAACAGCTGCACAGACACAGCAGACTATCCTCTGTTGACAAGCATGCAGATGAACAAAACAGCCAATTCACAGTGTATTTTTAGTGTTGTTCAACTCTCCATGGGGCTAAATGCACATAAAACTTGGTCCTGCTCACATGAAAGAGGATCTAATACTTATTTTTATTGCTTTCTATTTCCATGGTGAAACAGATATAAGGGGATTCTCAAGAATGTGGGCAAAACCTGACAATGCATCTAACCATTACCCACAAAAAAACAAAAAACACAAAACAAAAAAAGTTTGACGAGAATTCTACTTCATAAAATTATTGTATTGATTGCACATATCAGGCCATGATCTAAATCATCTCATTTTGACTTCTAGCTAATCCATTTTTCTTGACGCTAAAACTAAAATGTTGATGCTAAAACGGAGGCAAAATCAATTTAAAATGAGACATGATCTGACTTGTGCAGTACTACTACTTTGGCTGAAAATATAAATAAAGACAGAAATACCAAAATATTTTATAAAGTATGCTTTAAATATTTTCTAACTTGCAAGAACAAGAATACAACAAATCATAAAACTTTTTAACATAAGCCAAGCTACTAGATATTTTTGGTGAGAGTAAACATACCTTTTCCATTCGCCCTGTGCTATAAAGCTCTAGATCAAAAAACTGAGGAATTTGTAAAAGATTTGCCACTTTCTCTGCATCAGCAGAATACTGGAAGAAATAAGAACACATCCAATCAGAAAATAATAAATATTTTTACTGCAACAGGATTTCTGTATATCATAACGTCCTTTCAATAAAAATATGATGCTTGCATATACTGTTTGCATCTGACAGCAAACATCAACTTCACTAAAGTAATAGCTCACTCAAAAATGCAAACATTTAACATTTGAACAGATGTTACAGAGCAAATTACTTTTTTTTTTTTCTAGGCCTCATTCAGCTGGGCACTGGCACCCGTACTGCATCCATTCTGCCTTCCTTTTCACATTGTCTGCGTTTGGACCCGTGCAGTGACTCCTCCTGCACAGCTGTCAAACTTTGACATGCGGCTGTGTCTGTGCAGCCACTGTGTCTGAATCCACTTCTATAGCCTGCCTGAACGTAGCTCGGGGCAGATGCCAAAACAAAGGCAGCCTGCACACAGTACAAATGCCAGTGACTATCTGAATGAGGATGCAGCATCTAGAGAGACCATGACAATAAAGCTTGATCTATGACATTGATATTATGAAGATTTCTTTTTAATTATCTCATATTTACAGAGAACATAAAAGGCATGAGAAATAAGAAGCCAGTGGGTGAGTAAATCTACTCATAAATGTATCAATTTTGTGTAGAAAATTTTCAAAGCCTCCTATCTCATTGTTGCTTAACAAGGTAGAAAACAGCCTGGAAGACCTTTTTGCTCAGAATAGACTTGAGCAATATTCTAAAATGTGGTTTCACTGGAATATATCTGTTTATTCCGATGAGGACAAAGCACTTTTTGAGACCTGTCCGGCAGACTGACTTTCCACTGACCTTATGGTCACCCCACAAATGCCAGCATTGCAGTATTTTGACCCTTTCCCTTCTCCCAGCATCCTTACCCTCCCCACTTTTTTTTTTTCCTTTTTTCTTCCCCTCCTGTTAAAGGAAATGTGGTATCTTACGCATGTCTGGCATATGGTTCAGCGTTTGGGCAGTTCAGCGGTATAGAGTGATCCATAGTCTAACCTGTGCTACTTATCAGTTGTTTGGTATTATCTCTAGTTATCAGGTTGGGAGACTCTTTTCAATAGGGCACAGTCTATCCCAGTATTACTTGTCCTTAACAATGTTTTGGCTATAATACATTTTTAGTAACTCCAAACAAGTATACATGACAGAAGTTCTGACTTTACTGTCTGCAAGCTTCTCCCTGGTTACCACCAAATTCTGTGAATGAATAAAATTATAAGCACCATCGGGCCACCGTGGCCAACGACTTGTAGTTCTCAAAGAATTGTACGTGCACTGGTGAGCACTCTCTAGTTCATCAATTGGTCCTGCAGTTCAGCAACTGAATACGCATACAGGAGATATGGTCGGACAGTGTACTGAGAGTCTGCAGGAGCCTGACAATGCACCCGTAATCTGCTGATCGCTCCAGAGTAAACAAATACACATTTTACCGGCAAAAAATGCATTTTTTTTTTTTTTTATTAAATTAACCTCTAAAGTGCATCTAAAGCCAAAGCGTTCTTCATTTTTGTGAGGGAATGTGCCCCCCCCCCTTTCAACCACCAAGCAGTCAGGTCAGCTGAGGACAGATAAGGAGGAACATCTGTTCCTCTCCTCCTCTGTGGCAAATGAAGCTGGAAGTGACAAAAATTTTTTAACTTGCGGTTTTGGTTCTGTTTAACTGGCCGTAATGGCCAGTGAGGCAGCCGATCAAACGATCTGTGTAAGTCCCGCATGCATATGTAAACGGTGTTTACACCACACGTGCGGTATCACTACAAATGTTAAGAGTAAGAGCAATAATTTTGGTGCTAGAGCTCATGTTTAACTCTAGACTAGGGGTGTAAAACTGATGGCCTTCTAGATGTGGAACTACAAGTCGCATCATGCTTCTGCCTGTGGAAGTCATGCTTGTAACTGTCAGCCTTGCAATGCCTAATGGGACTTGTAGTTCCGCAACAGCTGGAGAGCCATCAGTTTGACACCTATGCTCTAGACCAGCAATGGGCAAACTGGGCCCGCGGACTATACGGCCCGCGGACCGTATACGGCCAGGGGACCTTTAAATCCGGCCCGCGGAGCTAGGCTCCTCTCACAGTCCGCCCTGAAGACCGGTGTAGCATGAAAATCTGTCTCCTATAAGGATGTCCCCCAGACGTATCTGCGCATGTGCCGGAGATCGCCGATCGGCTGCTAATGCCTGAAACTGGCACATGCGCATATACGTCGAGGGGGACAGATCCTCATAGGAGACAGATTTTCATGCTACTCCGGAACGGCGCGGGAACATGGCGAGAGGAACGCGCGGAGCAAAGGTAAATGAATTGACACAGGGGGGACTTGGGGGCTTAATATGGGGGATGAATTACTATATGGGGGATGAATTACTATATGGCGGATGAATTACTATATGGCGGATGAATTACTATATATGGGGAATTAATTATTACATGGCGGATGAATTACTATGGGGGATGAATTACTATATGGGGGATGAATTACTATGGGGGATGGGGGGATGAATTACTATATGGGGGGATGAATTACTATATGGGGGGATGAATTACTATATGGGGGATGAATTACTATGGGGAATGAATTACTATGGGGGATTAATTACTATATGGGGGATGAATTACTATGGGGGATGAATTACTATATGGGGGATGAATTACTATGGGGGATTAATTACTATATGGGGATGAATTACTATGAGGGATGAATTACTATATGGGGGATGAATTACTATGGGGGATGAATTACTATATGGGGGATGAATTACTATATGAATTACTATATGGGGGATGAATTACTATATGGGGGATTAATTACTATGCTTACTATGGGGGAATATTACTATACTTACTATGGATGACACATACACATCATTCATCTACTCTTGGTCCGGCCCTCGGGTCCAATATATGAACCCATTGCGGCCCTCAAGTCAAAAAGTTTGCCCACCCCTGCTCTAGACTAATAACCTGTGAAAGTTTTAAAAACATTGCCTATAGAGATGTTTAAATATCATAGTTTCACCATTTCATGGGAGTCTGAAATTTTAAATCTCGTCATGTTAGATATCAATTTACTTGAAGCAACATATATAAAAAATTATTACTAAACAATTGGGCATTATATTGTGTTTTAGGGCATTAAAATGCATTTAGGTGGTGCAGCACAGTGGCGAAATGGTTAGCACTTCGGCCTGGCAGTACTAGCATCATCGGTTCAAATCGCAACCACAGCACCACCCGCCTGGCGTTTGCATGTTCTCCCTGTGAATGCGTGGATTTCTGCCGAGTACTCAGGTTTCCTCCCACCCTCCAAAGACATGCTGGTAGGTCAATTGGCTCCTGTATAAATTGGCCCTAGTATGTGTATGTATGAATGTGCGTTAGGGACCTTAGATTGTACGCCCCTTGAGGGTTAGGGACCGATGTGAATGTTCAATATATATGTAAATCGCTGCATAAATTGACAGTGCTATATAAGTACCTGAAATAAAATAAAATTTCTTCCTGAAACGTTGAATTTGATAAAAGGCTGCGCATATGTTGTGAGACATAAAAAACTGCAAAACTATTTATTTTACAGGTCCTCCGCTTTCAGAAAATATATGTTTGGGGGGTTCCAAGTAATTTTTTAGCAAAAACCAATGCTTATTTTTATGTATGTGCAAAATGTTAAAATTGGCCTGGATGGCAAGTGGCTAAAGTAAATGTATTTTTTTTTTAAATCAACATGTCATAATTACCAGCTCTGTACAATGGTTTTGCACAGAGCAGTGCTGATCCTCCTCTGCTCGGGTCCCCCGCCGGAACTCCTGGATCATCCTCCCTGCTTAGTGTCCCGATACCAAGCTGCTTGCTGTGGGGGGCACTCGTCCAGACTCAATCCCGAACCACACTCTGTGTGTCCATTGACACAAACACACTTACACACACACACATACAACATGGCTTGGCCCCGTCCTCTGCTCTCTGCTCAGTGACCAATGGCTCCTGCCCCTGCCTTCATGTCCAGTGAAAAGAGAGAGAACAGAGGAGATAGAATGGTACTCAAATTGACTTAAGTAACACAAATGGAAGACAGCTTGTTGCAATGTACAGTAATGAACTACATAAAAAAAAAAGCTTTAAAGGGCAATTTCCTGTACACTGAAGTGCGTTGGCAACCTGTTTACAGTTGAATGACTATCTTAATGCAAGGTACAATGCCTAAAAAGAAGAAAAAAAGAAAACCACACAGATGTGAAGCTGACCTTAGGGTGATGACATCCAAGCGCATTTAAACTATGGTATCCACATACAGCTGTGGTCTAAATTTGCATGGATTCCCATTTCAGCTTTCTTGCAAAGGTCTCACTGAACTCACTTCTTGACACAGGGTTTTAGTGCTGCAGATGTGCAAACTTTTATCCTTAAAGTGAACCTGCCTTCAGAGGCTATGAACATTAATAGACTAATCCAAAACTGGTATAGAAGCAATCATGGGTCTTGCAGAGTTGATACATCAAAACAGCTGCATTTTTATTGTCAACATTTTGATGACACTCAGACCATCTTTCTCAGGACATTATTATACTATTTACATATTTTTAATAAGTCGTAAAAGAGCTTTAAAACAAGACTTCACTCCCCTCTATAGTTGCATATACTGTGCAGAAATGAATTCACAAAATTTAATGTAACTCAATGATGGTTGTTCACATATGAGCACTCAGGAGTCTGAAGCTCAATGCCTGATGTTCCAAAAGTTACGAGCTATTTTTGAGGCAGATTTGCGTGTTTTTACAGACTTCAACAGGAATGCCTGTACACTCTTTAATCAAATGTTATAATTGCATTTCTTTTTAAAGCCACAGTTCAGTTTTTTTTTAGCCTGTTAAAACTGGTCTCCTCTCCCTAATGTGCTTTACTGTCTAAAACAGAAATATCTGTTTGAATATACATGTAAAATGTTTGAAATAAGCTTAAAAAAAATTCTCAGATATGCAAGCAAAATGCTTAAATAAAAGTACCTGAAAATCTGTGTTCAGGTGTGAATGCAGAGGGCTGGCAGGCTGCCAAGATCTGCTCTCATAATAAAAAAAGCAGATCTCGTAGTGTCACTCATTTTGAAATGTGAAAATGAATTTCTCCACAATGCCTATAATACAGAGATGAACGAGGGCTTGTTTTGAAGGGCTTTTACAGTTTGTTTAGAACACAATTATTGTAGTGTGCATAGTCTAGGCACCAGTTCTTTAAAGCTGAACTCCGGGATAGGTGAATATTGTTTAAAAAAAAGTACCATAAATCAGGCATGTCTCTAAGGTATGTCCTCTTTTAAAATTATTAGGTCGGAATATCACAGATATTCTATTTTCCCCCCATTTTTAAGAAGAAGCTAACCATGAAATGTGCCAAAATACAGCTGTCTTCTTGGTACTTTCTATCATGTAACCAACATGTTGAAAAGATGTAAAGATTATAGTGTTACTTTTTAAAGGGGTTTCTCTCTTTACAGCTACAGAGATAACCGATACATACTTAGCTGTTTTGTTTTAAACCAAATATATTGTGATATCACATCAATTTTATGGAAGTAATCAGCTTGATATTATAGTAATAAAAAAGTATTTTTTGACAATGCAATTGTGATATGTATTTATGGTACAAAAAAAGGTTCCATTTATAAAGAATTTGTGTTCTTAAATACAAGAATTAGGTGCATTCTTACTTGAACCTTGGTGTGCTTTGTGCATTTCTTCCAAATTTGTGCAGTAATTCAGCATGAATCTTTTCGTACATGCAGAAGCTTTTTGTAATAAAGACCTGTCACTGCTACTCTCCCCACTTGTGCAGGGAGACTGGTCTGGTCTTCAACCCCCTGTACTTTTCTGCATGAAGCAAATAGTGGGAGGACCTGCTGGGTTCTTTCCTCAGCTCTGCTCTTTGTAAAGGCTTTGTGCATTCACAGTGGATTTATAGCCTTTGTGGCAGTTGAAGAACATATTTAGGTAGCATTTTTGGGCACAAAATTTCAGGTTTGAAATAATTGGCCTGGGTACTTTTTTGGAAACCCTTCTTCTTTTCCTGATGCCTGATTTTCTGCTACTTATCAGTTTGCCTTCACAATTTGTCTTCCCATGTCTCAACTGACCAAGTTGAACAAATGTTGCATTCTGTACTCTGTAGATATAATAAAAAAGGACTACATAATCACCTGCAAATGTGATAAATATACCATACACAGGAAAGCACCATTTAGAAAAAAATATGTCACAATCCAGTTTTGAAGACCATTTAGCAAAGCTGTATGTTTATTGAGATTAATTTTTGTTTGTGGACATGTATATCTAATTGACTGAAGTATACAAAACCACATCTTAGGTGCTGTAAAAACATTGGATATAAAAACTGCAGCAAATGTTAATTAACTACATACTGGAACTGGTATCATCAACTTTCTCATATCACCAATTTTCACATATCTGTGAAAAGCAGCTGCCTGTGGCATCAAGTAAGAGATGCTGCTGGCAAATTCCCCTGCTGAGAAGTTTCGATTATTTTTTGCATCCTTGTAAAGATAGAGGTACTGTAGATTCTGCAGTGCAAACGTTTATCAAAGCATCTGCCATTAACTACCAAGTGTTCTTTATGACATCACACTAGTACAGACCCAAGTTGTTTTATTTTTTTGTACCTTAGATAGCAGCATTGGAAGTGCAACAATGAAATGTTCTGTCAACTTGTTTTTGTCATCTATTTGGGTTTTACGTTCCTTGGCAGTTAAAACCTGAAAAAAGAAATTTGGTTTCAAAGAAAAGCTAATCTTGATTTAGGGTAGTTCAAATGTGTTTGTTCACCATAGCAACAGCAATTTTGAAACATTCAGATGTCAGTTTTACAAAGGAATGTATTGTGGTCATGTGAATATTCTCTTTATCATGGTTTAAACTAATAATAAAAAACTTAAAAATGTGTTTGTTTACAAACACAACCAATATAAGCCTAATATTCTTCATGGCAACATTATATTCTGATATGCACAGCCATGTTTCAGAACATGTCAAACACATTAAAATAAGAATGCTTTATACAGAAGAAACTCCGCTCAGCTGAAAGGCTAACTACTAGCTTGTTAAGTATTCCTTAAGCAGTTGCCGACCGCAGATAGTGGAATGACGGCTACACCGCGGCCGGCCAGTTCTGGGAGGGCGTCATATGATGTCCTCCCAGAACGCGCTCTCCTGCGTGCTCCCCGGTGGCGCGCACCCAGCGATCTCCGTGATCGCTGTGTCCTACGGACACAGCTGATCACGTGATGTGGTAAAAGGCCAATCACAGCGGCATTTTACCACGTGATCAGCCTTGTCCAATGACACACTGATCACAGGGAAATGCAATTGCCGGTTCTCGGCTGCACTTTCCTCACGCTGTCAGATCGTGAGGAAAGTACTGCAGACAACCGGCAGTTGTTAGAGCAGGGATCGGCACTGATGAACAGTGCCCTGATGATCGGTGCCCAGCAGTTCCACCCACCAGTTCCGCTCAGCAGTGCACCCACCTGTGCCCAGCAGTGAAACCACCTGTGCCCACCAGTGCCACCCAGCAGTTCCACCCACCTGTGCCCACCAGTGCCACCCACCAGTGCCCAGCAGTGCTGCCAGTCAGTGCCACCAGTCGGTGCCAGCAGTGCCCAGCAGTTGTGCCAGTCAATGCCTAACAGTGCCGCCAGTCAATACCTAGCAGTGCCGCCAGTCAGTTCCCAGCAGTGATGCCAGTAAGTGCCCAGCAGTGATGCCAGTGAGTGCCACCTATCAGTGCTGTCTATCAGTACCCATCAGCGCTGCCTCATCAACGCACATCAGTGAAGGAGAAAAATTACCTGTTTGCAAAATTTAATAGAAACAAAGAAACTTTTGTTTTTCAAATTTGTTTGCACTTTTTTTTGTTTATAGCGCAAAAAGTAAAACACCCAGCGGCGAGTAAATACCACCAAAAGAAAGCTCTATTTATGATAAAAAAAAAAATTTTAAATTTCATATGGGTACAATCTTGCATAACCGTGCAATTGTCAATCAAAGTGCGACAGCGCTGAAAGCTGAAAATTGGCCTGGTAAAGGGGGTATAAGTGGCCGGTAGGCAAGTGGTTAAACTCCTCCTGCCCGACCTATAGTCAAATAATGGCCAAGCGGGAGTGCTGCCATCCTGAGTGGAAGTCATATGACGTCCTGACAGATTCGGGCCATGCTGCAGAGTGATCTGTCACCTGCTGTGTCCTCCGGACACAGTGGATGACAGATTGGTATACCGGGCGCTGCCGGTACCATGTGATTGCTGTGACCAATCACAGCAGATCTCATGACAATTGCATACAATGAATGACTTCCATTCATAGCCATTCATTGTGTACTATTGAGTCAATCTCTGTGATTGATCACAGTGATCACATGGTACAGACAGGACCAATCACAGCCCATCTGTATCATGTGACTAGATGTGGCCAATCACAGCTACTCACAATAGTGCACACTGAATGAATGGGTATCATTAATAAAAAAAATCCCGATCACCTCCCCAGAGTAGTACAGTGTTACTATGTTAATACCGTATTGCTCTGGTCACAGTATGCAAAAAAAAAAAAAATATCATAAAAAAGTAATAAAATGATTACATTGCCAAAAAAATCTAACATAAATTTACAACTTCAAAAAACTTGACATGCCTGTAACAACTGTACCGCAAACTGTACTTTAAAAAATAAACGTAATTTGTGGGATATTTGTACTGTCCTTGGCCTCATGAAATGAGATAGGCCGTCAGTACAGCAGGACTGATCAATTTTCATTATCTATATATATATTCATATTCTATACATCTCATAGTTTGCGGATTTTTACAGACTAAATATTAAACAGGATTTATATAGCGGCAAGAGTTTGTGCAGCACTTTACAACATGAGAGCAGACAGTACAGCTACAATACAATTCAATACAGGAATCAGAGTCCTGTTTGTTAGAGCTTACAATCTAAAAGATACACTGATTTAGGGTATTTTTAACAAATAAATGTAGAAGTATACATTTTGATTAGATAGATTATTTATTTGCAAAATTTTATAACAGGAACAAAGAAAAATACATTTGTTTTTTCATTTTTTAGCAAAAACTAAAAAACCCAGTGGTGATTTAATACCATCTAAAGAAAGCTCTATTTTTGTGTGCAAATAGTTAGAAAAATTCATTTGGGTATAGTGTTGCATGGCTGAACAATTTTCATTCAAAGTGTGATTGTGCTGAAAGCTGAAAATTGCCCTGGGCAAGAAGGGGGTGAAAGAGTCCAGTATTGAAGTGGTTAATTGCCAGGCATCAATCTACCACTATGGAAATACACACATTAATATTCACATTTAGTGCTCCTTTCATTAGTATTTAAGCATTACAATTTATTAGCATTAAAACTTACCCTCTTGCCAGTTCCTCTTCCCACAGGGGGATGCGCTTCTGCAGCCTGGCGAATAGTACACACCATCAGTTCAATGAGTGCGCTCTCTTGCCGCTCAGACATCACTAGGAATAGAAAAAGTGCTTTAAATGCTCAAGGCACAAGAACAACTCTAGCAACAGCACTAAAAGCCAAAATGAGGTAGTATTCTGCATCTGCGACATTTAGGACATTGTAAACACTGCATAGTCCACATTTTATTTCAAATATATGGCTTAGCATTAGGATTGTTAAACTCGTCATAAAATTCTATTTTTGAAAATCCATTGAGGGAAGAAGTAAGTCATATATTGGCAGGTTTTACTGTTGCGTACAGAAGAATCAAGACACTGGTAAACAAAAAAATAACAAAACAAAACAGTAACAGGAAAAAAAAAAGAAGATCTGTAGGCCAGCCCAGGATAATCCCTTCTACTAACATGGCCCTGTTTGTAGTAAGACGTATCAGGAGAACAATCAAAAATAGAGGGGTGGGACCTTTGTTCCCCAATGGATGGATTCCAGGAAAGAAAATTTATGGAGAGTACAAAAATTCTATTTTCTTTCTCATCCATTGAGGAAAATTGAAGTCACGTACTGCCAGGATGAACAAATGCAGTCCAAGTGAGGGGTGGGCAACAGCAAACAACTACTAACAGGCCCAATGTGAACAAGGTGTGAGTATCATGGAGAAGGAAAACCTCTCCAAGGATAGGGATAGAACTGAGGAACTGAAAAGTGTGTTCTGGCAATGCAAGACCAGTCTCATGAGGGTGGAAAGCCTCTAAGTACATTGTCCAATGGTATCCATCTCTGAAAACCTGCACAGGGGAATATCTTGCAATGTAGGAGGAACCATCCATTCTAGGAATCCAGAACGCAGCCCAGAAGATAATTATTCTACAGAACCAGGGTCTTTCCAAACATGGGGAGAGGAGTTCTTATCAATCCCATAACTCATGGACTGGTGCATCAGGCTAGGTACTACCTGGCCCTCCGCGCCAGACAAGTTTCTCTTGCTAAGGGGGCCACAAGCACAAATGCAGAAGGAAGGACTGATTCAGTCTAAGAAGAGATAGTAGAAATAGGGGGCTTCAAAAGAGAGAGCCCCCTAAATACCCGACTCTCCTTCAACAGCTGAAAGGTAGGCAACTTACTAACCAAAGGAGAGGGATAATAGGGAAAACATGCCACAAACCCTTTTACTGGTTAAATAAGCAGTTTTAAACACTGACTCCTGAAGAAGCAAGTAAATCAATAGAGAATACTTGTTGATCCTGCCAGAAATGCAGTGTTCTTGTAACTGCCTGTGTACTGACCTGAAACCCCAGACGAGGTTAAAGGCCCTGCCCAGGTCTTATTTGTGAACTACAGAACACCTTCTCACTATGTTAAGGAGATTAGTAAAATGGGAGGAGTTTGGGAAGCCAAATTAGGAGTGTCCTAGGGTAACATTGCTGCTCCTCCAGATATATAGTGCATTGAGTGAGAGTTATTACACTAAGACAGGAAGTGTGTTACTAACAGGTGAAAATAAAGAAAAGAATTCTGAAAAAAGAATGCCAATGCAGCCACCACATCTAAGAACTAGTGAGCTGCAATATACTATATTTCTGTTTTTGAGTTTAAGTCTGGGTTCACACTTGTGCGTTGCGGCATACTGCATGTGATTCGCACAGGAACCGCACCGTATTCCTGTGCAAATCACATGTGAATTCTGTGCACTGCGATTTGAGCAATACATTTTGTATGGCTTAACTTGCACCACATTTGCACCAAAAAGGTGCAGGACCAGATTCGGAGCAATGAGGATGACTGGGATCCCTTCAGCCTCTATCCTGCGTAGTACACAAGCAATCAGTCGAGGGGGTGGGAAGGCGTACATGAGTGTACCGATCCCACAGTGCCACCAGCGTACCTGCTGTGTCTGCCAGGGGATCCAAAGATCGTGCCACGAACCGACTGAGGCAGGAAGCCAGAAGATCCATGTCCGGAGCCCCCCAGAGAATGCAGAGCTGATGGAACAATTCAGGATGTAGGGACCACTCACCCTGATCCAGAGTCTGATGGCTGAGACAATCCGCTTGGAAGTTTTTGACACCTGGAAGGTGTACGGCGGACAGAGCCGGGATGAACCTCTCCGCCCATTGCAGAATGCGAGATGCCTCCAGTACCACTGCTGCACTTCTCGTGCCCCCCTGATAAATTGACATACGCCACCGCAGTGGTGTTGTCCGACTGAATTCTGGTAGGCAGACCCAACAGACAGTCCATCCAATACATTAGTGACAACCTGATTACCTGAAGCTCAAGGATATTGATGGGTAAGCGAGCTTCCCATGGAGTCCATCGACCCTGAGCAGAGTCCGCTCCCAGGTCTCCTCACCAGCCTGACAGGCTGGCATCTGTCGTGACCACAGTCCAGCGAACAGGGAGGAAAGACTTTCAATTCCGTAGAGCCAGGGACCTCATCCACCAAAAAAGGGAGGCCCTTATCGACCATTCTAGGTGAATCTGAAGATCCAAGGAGGTGGAAGCCCTGTTCCATTTCGATTTCCCTCTGTAGTGTTCTCGTATGAAACTGAGCATACAGAACTGCTTCGAAGGTAGCCACCATCAAGCCTAACATCAGCATGCAAAGATGGAGTGGGCCGCCTGCAAGGCAGGAGTTGCCGAACCAACCAGAGCTTTAACAATTTCTCAGACGGAAGAAACACCTTGGCCTGCTCTGAATAGAGAATCAGCTCTAGATACTCCAGACGCCTGGACAGAGTCCACACTGACTTCCTGAGGTTCAGGATCCACCCGAAGTCCCGAAGAAAACGCATGGTGATCTCCACACTGTCTAATAGCGAGGAGGATGAGCCTCAGCACGCAGTAGCAAATCGTCCAGGTAGCCGATCACTGCGATCCCCCGTGGTCTCAATAAGGCCAGGACCGGGGCAAGGAACTTGGTCAACACCCGAGGTACAGAGGCCAGACCGAAGGGCAACTCCATGAAACGATGAGCGTCCCCGATGGCAAAACGAAGGAAGCGCTGGTGCCCTTCGCAAATGGGGATGTGCAGGTAAGCATCCTTGATGTTCGAGGTGACAGGAAATCTCCCTGGTGGAGGGAGGCCACCACTGAGTGAATAGATTCCATCCTGAACTTGTGAATCTGCACAAAGACATTCAGGGCCTTGAGGTCCAGGATTGGGTGAACCCCGTCTGCCTTGGAAACAGTGAACAGGTTAGAGCAGAGGCTGCAAAAACACTCCGAATTGAGTACTGTGACGACCACTCCGCGGAGCAGCAGATCATGCACATCTCTGTACAGGGCTTTCAGGCAACCTTCCAAACGCCGAACATTGGAGGAAAAAAAAAATCTGTCTGGTGGAAGAGAATGAAACTATCTTGCATCCTGATAGAATAATCTTGTGAAACCACTTGTCGTGAATGAGGGAGGTCCACGGTCCCAGAAACCTGCAAAGAAGCCCCCCCACTCTGGAAGCAGGAGGGGCAAACCTCTATGCTGAGGGAGACTTATCCGCGGGCTTAGAGGACTTCTGGGGCCAGGGACACCTGATGCCACCTGTGGGGCCTTAAAGGGCCTGGAGCCCTTGGCTGCGGAGCTGGAGGGACGAAAAATGCATTTATGTGCCGTAAACATTGTCCCCAACTTCTGACGAGGTTCCTTCCCCCTTCTTGGCTTGAGGGAGGGTGGAAGGAACTCTTGCCTCTAAGTAAGGTTCTTGATGTCACCCAGGGTAGCGCCAAAAGTCGGTTGCCTAGAAAGGGCAGGTCTGTCAGACGGACAGTTTGGAAAGAAGAGGAGCTGCATCAAGGTCGTTGTCACAAATGGACTTTAAGCCCTGGACCAACTTGTCTGCCAGCTCCACATACACTTGGGGCAACTGACTAGAAGTCGAGCCTTGTTGTAGAGCCTTGGCCCATTCTGTCAATGTCTGGAAGACCAAGGCCATAGCCAACACCGGCCTAAGTGCCGATCCGGCGACAGTGAACATTGAATGGGCCACCTCCTCCGCCCTGCAGTCTCTTAAATGAGGGGGATTCCTCCACAGGAATCAATGTGGTCTTGTTAAGCCTGGAGATGGGAGAATCACCGGCGGAGATATCCACTTCTTCAGCAGGGCCTCCTGAAAGGGATAACACACTGGGAAGAATTTGGGAAGCATAAACGGATGCTTCAGCCTACTTCAATCCTTATAAACAAATCTGTCAAAATATTCTGCATAAGGAAAAACATTAGCAGCCCGAACCGGCTTGTGAGTACTAAAATGAACAGGTATCGCGTCAGCTGACCCCGTAGGGTTGGCAATCTTTAATGTTTCACGCACCGAATCAATAAGTGCCGCTACCAATGCCTTCTCCTGTTCGGTAACAGAGGTCCTCCTCCTCCAAGGAAGCAGGGGATGTGTCCTCAGGATCCACGGAAAATGTGGAACCCACAGTGGTGGGATCTGGTTCGGTCTCAGAATCGTCCAGTGATGGCAGGGGGGCTTCATGCTCACCTTGCGACCAAACTCTGCCTTCACACGGGACACAGGTGTGTCCAGGTCGGTCAGCAATGAGTCTATGGGAACTGAGGGACCCGGGACCTCCAGAAGGGGCACCTGAGGTGCAGCATGCTCCTGAGCTTCCATGGGACCAGTCCCCTCAACTAGATACCGCCGCAAGAAGGGGACCCGGACGCTCTCAGTACAGAAGACCACCCCAGTAGGGAGAAAGGAGAGAGAGAGAGACCCCCAAGGAGGACTCCCCCACCACCACCAGGAGCTACGAAGGTGCCTACGTGTCCCGCACAGTGTGTGTTGAGCCCCAACTCCACAATCCTGAGGTGTCGGAGGGAATCTCCGCCGTGGGCTATAGGAAAATGGTCACCAAGGACCTCCATCAGCTGGCCTGCATTGCTTGATAGCCACTCAGATCCCCCAAAAAATGGCCATCGGTCAAAAATCTCCAGAACAATGGTCACCAAGTCTGGCACTAGAGGCCGGAGGCTGAAAACCTCCAAGAAAATGGGTGCCAAAACTACAATAACATGGCCACCGACCATCCCAGTCACATGCAGCGCATCCCAATCC